AGATAACATGATGTTTTGTTGAAGTGTCAGGCAACTGGAAGCTGAGGGTCATCTGTGTAAAGTCTTCTTGATTGCTCGACTTTGAACAAGAGAACGATTCTTATCGAAATGCATTTCCAATGCGTCTGACTATTCTCATCCCATGGTGTATGGGTACAATGATGGGTAAGATGACATCTCATGAGAGACAAATGACAGAACTTTGAAACCTTTGGATGAGTTTCTAATCTATTTTGCCTCTGAAATGTTGGTGCAGTATTTATTAGAACAGATTCTGAGAGTTATCACTAGTAATTTAACTGAGCTTGTAACATGTGATTATTACCCAGTACGATTGGAGCAGTTGGAGCAGAAGTTCAAAATGACCTCATGTCCTGTTGTGATTGAGGCTTTCGCTGAACAAACAGTAGCCATTAAGTACCAGTGAATGGGCGATGTCAGCAGGAGGGTCAGAGACAGTGCAGGTGGTCCAAGACCTGGACATAGGGTCTGGTGACTTGTTTAGGTGGTCATCATTATCTGAAAATGGCAGCACCATTAGACATGAGGGCTTCAACTTTGAAACAACCCTAAGATTTGTGGCAGAAAAGAGAAAGGCAGAGACATCAGGTGAAATCCAACAAGGGATTTGAATCTTGCGGGCACCTCTGCAAACGCACTTAAACTTAACCTGACATCCGCTTCCACTGTGAAGAAAGCCACCTTGGACTACCCATGTGAGAAAGATCAGAAATGACAACCGGATCAAATATTTCCCCCACTCCAAAAAAGTCTTAAGATCGTGGCAACTGGCCTGTAGTTACAGAAGAGAGTGAAGCCCAGTGGGCCTAATGGTTCAGCGATGATTCCCTGCATGCCCTCCTGTAGAACGCAGCGGTCAATGCCAGAGTCCTTTATCCTCAGGACGAAAGGAAGAGACTTCCTCTGTTAGAGCAGGTGAGTCTGGATGAAGATCCCGAGACCATCTGCAGAGCATGGTTTTAGTGACTCCGTCAGAGTGAACGAGAAATAATGGTTCCCCTTGGGGAGGCCGGGTGGGTGCTCAGAGCAAACTCAGAGGAAAGTGGCTGCAGCACTGTCAGGTGACAATTGGTTGGCACAGCAGACAGATGCCAGCTTACTGTCAGGTGGATCAGTGCCAATTTGCAGGACTCAGGCACCAAGTGTTACAGCAGGCTCACTGAGGGGATGGCCTCTGAGGTCAGAGGAATCTGAATTCTGCCACTTTTCTCTGCAGGAGAAGTGGATGCAGAATGCCCATGGACAGGCGGAATTGTGAACAATATAACTATCCTTAGAACCAACAAGAAAGAGACCACAGAGCTGCCAGTGCACCAAAAGTGGTATCCGTTGGTAGAAGATGCTACTGCCCCTCTCCTGAGTTTATTACATGTTGGACCTGGGTGGGAGATATGTGCAGTGGCACTAGTAGAGTGAGTGTGAGGTGCCAGACAGAAGAGTGTGACCGTTACCCTAGCTGGGGGGAGAAGGTCATTGACTTCCTTTTCAGCATTTCACTGGCCTTACCTTCACACCCTGAAGGTGGCACTGACCCAGGGAGCAACCAGAGACCAGGCTGGGAGGGTTTCACAGTATGGGCCCCTCAGGTGGTCCTCTGGGAAGAGCACATCTCTTTGTTGCACTACCCCATCAACCAGGACCTCCTGCTCCGTGTTGATGAATGACGGTGCCATCTTCACTTTCTCTGGCATTCTGTGCCCATGTCCTGGATTGGGCAGGGTAGCTTTGGCATGCCAATGCGTTTCTGGGTGCTCTGCAGCACGCTAAAGATGGCATGGGTTCAGGAGCTGCCGGTCTGTAGGCAGAAATCCGTGGGGTAACGAATTGTTCTGGAAACAGCATGTGGTAAGATAGGGGTGGAAATCGGATCTGAGAGAGGCACGTTAGATGATTAATGAGGCGGGCTTGGTAAGATAGGGCAGGAAAACTCGCTGCAAGAAACCCTGCGAGTAAACCGACACAACTTGTACTTAGCCAAACAAACAATGCACGATTCTGCCCATTGGTTTGGAAAGCCTTTATTAAATGTTATTGTTTATTACTGGGCTGTCTCAGTTCAACAGTGGTTACAGATGTGAGTTCACATTCCTGGGGCTGCCTAGAGCTTACGCAGTGATGTGCGTGTTGATCGGGGTCAGGGGTTGGGGGGGACTGTTGTCAAGATACTACACACTGCTATGTCTGGGCAGTTAGCAGATAGTTGGTGTTGCAGCAATGAGGAATTACAAATGGACCAGAGGGAGCTGTACATGACAACATTCAGGAGAAACGCTTCGGTGCTCAGCCTTAGCCCCTCGATCTTGAAACCCTCCAACTGGCACCTCAGGCTAGTTTGGATGCCAGGACTCCTTTTGGTCTGTGAAAGTGCATGAGGTCTTCAGCAGCCAGGAACACTCCCCCTACCCCCACTTCGTGCTACAATCTGTACTGATCTGGCTGGTGTGTACCTGTACCACCCAAACAGCTTTGGTGCCTTGTCCCTCATTCTTGAGCAAAGTGACAGTCAGGTCGATGCTCCGGTGGTTAGTTTGTTTGAATTATCGACTTCTCTGTCTTGGTCCGTGGCATCCTCACTGACGATGTCATCAACCAACTCTTCGGTGGATATTCCCTGTCACAGAATATCCGTTCTTGAAGGTACACTGTGGGAACTGGGGGCTGAGAAAGCAGTAACCCAAAAGGAGGTCAATCGAATAACAGAATCTTTCGGATTGCTCACAAACAAGCCTCAATCCCACCACTCCTACCCCTAACCCCTGCGGTTTTTGTTTAGCTTTAATAACTTATCCATTTCCTTTTAAAAGCATCCATTGAATCTGCTTCTCGTGTCCAAACAAGCTTATGGTGAGGCAGTGCATTCCAATTCCTAACCACGTGTTGCATAAAAATGTGTTGTTCCCGATTTGTTCAAAGCTGCGTTCCCTGGTTATTTATTTCCCAACCATCAGGGAAACATTTGTCTTCATTTACTCTGAGCCGCTGATGACCTTCAGCACTTCAAACAATCTCATGTTAGCCTTCAGCATGAAACGTTGTTACAAATAACATGGGTCATCGGTGAATCTTTAAAAGTCACTTGATAACTGGGCATCATCAGCAACTTATGATGTGTTTACAGTTAGGCAACACAATTTGAAAAACGCTTGCTTGTAATGTTTTCAATAACATGGTTTGAATCGGTGCCTGGAAAACTGAATGGATAACATTTTGGATGTCTTTTTAGTAATTCTTTGTTATGAGAGTATTTAGCAATGGAACATAAACACCGTTGGGAAGATGGAAACTTTCTGTTCCCTAGTGACTGGAAACAACTCTTTATTATGTAACAATCTTTGCATGTATTCGTTTATGAAATGAAATGTGTAGGTTTATATAGAAGTGAAATGGTGTTGACCATTAATTGCAGACGTGACTTATTATGAATGAATGAAATATATTAGATTGCCCCACTTCCAAGGCAGCATGCCTCAACAGTACTCATCAAAAGCCTTTTGAAAATCCAAGTATAATGCCAGTCTCAATTGACCCAAGCCAATAATTTTCTCAAAAGGCTTCACATTTTAGTTAAACATGACCAGTCCTTTCCTGAGAGGTGAATGCTCTTTTACAAGATTTTGTTTCTCTGTGATTCAGTCTAGACATGTGTTCACTTTGTTTCATACTTTAAAGGAATGTCCTGTAACCCTTCTCATAGAATCCCGACAGTGTGTATTAAGATTAACAGTTAACTGCTTTTGCTGCACCTCCATGCTAATTATGACCCTCTTTTAATGTCATATAAAATGATGTCTCTGTTTTGATCTCTGTTTCTTGTGTCCTAGTTTCAACGAGTGCAACACGGAAGCCTCAAATTCTAACCCCTTTTTAGAGATATTTAAAAGTTTTGAATAGAAAAGACCACGTGCCAGAAACTCACCAACTGGTGTCTCCTATCCTTGTTATGGAGCAAGAACCAATTCGAATTATTCAATGAATCTGGAACAGTCTCTGACTATCTACTTTCACCTTGCTTGCTTCTTTGGAAAATGCTGACTGCTTGCTACGAGTTCCTAACCTCACCCACTCCTCTAGATGATATTGAGTGACTGTCTCAGGCTTCTTTAGATATTCATTTAATAGTGACATTTTGTGAGACAATTTATTCTCATAATTGTATCTTGCGACACCAAACAATGTTTAACAGTGTTTCACGACAATAAGTGAAATCACAACATAAATCAACATGGAAAGTGATTGGGAAATATGATATTTTACGACGGCATTACCAAAAATGATAAAGAGCGTTTAGGGCAGCAGGGTGGCACGGTGGCTCAGTGGTTAGCACTGCTGCCTCACAGCACCAGGAACCTGGGTTCGATTCCACCCTCAGGTGACTGTCTGTGTGGAGTTTGCATATTCTCCCTGGGTCTGTGTGGGTTTACTCTGGTTTCCTCCCACAGTCACAAAGATGTGCAGGCTAGGTGGATTGGCCATGCTAAATTACCTGTAGTGATGTGTAGGTTAGGTGGGTTATAGGGATGGGTCTGGGTGGGATGCTCTGAGGGTTGGTGTGAACTTGTTGGGCCGAAGGGCCTGTTTCTCCACTGTAGGGATTCTATGAAAGTATTGACAACATTTGATTATATGGTCTGTAACATCCCTTGGCAGAAACAAAGAAAGACAAGCTGGTATGGTTCTGTGGTTAGGTTACATGACTGTTCAGTAATTTACTTATTATTTCCACAATCTGAAGTATATAAACATTGAGTACAACACAAAAACAAAGAGAAGGGGTAGCGTTCAACCAGAACAGATGGAATGAAGATTTTTCTCCTCATCCTTGCCATTGTCCAGTCTCTCCACTGTTCTGGTAAGCACTGGGGTGTCGTCTAAACTAATTATGTTCCAATTTTATTTAAATAGTTGACTACTTAGTGTTGATTCATGTTAACGTGGATTGCAAACTCATTGATTACAAGCTGCTTTGCCGTTAAATTTGGAACAAATGTGTGACAACTGTGACATTCCTGTAGTTTCTGAGGCACTGCATGCCTCAGTTAAAAAATGGAGTGGAGATGTTACAACGAATGACCTCTTTAATATAACCAAGATTACAGTTGATTCTGTAAGTAACACAATGCCAGTTTCTCTGATTCATCTCTGATTTAGAAATGACTATTAAGGGTATGAATTTTATTTATTTGCTTAATTTGCAAGAATTTTACTGTGGGCAATAATTGTATAGTAAAATTAGTTATTTCTAGAAAATCGAGAACATTAGGGGAAGCAAAAATTAAAGTCATGGGCTTAAAGAGCAGAGGCAGAGAGAGACAGCAACACAAAGACAGATAAAACAACGGCTATACTCTCAGATCTTTCCAGAGCAACATGCAGGGTATTGATCGCTGCAATAATTCTTCCTTTTCCTAAATGTAATGCTTGTGAAATTCTCTTTGATATGTCGCCTGTGGATGACACAAATCTAACACTTTCTTTGTTAGATTGTCCCTATCGGAGAACTCCTGCTCCAGGTAAAATTAACATTTGATGTCCAGAAAGCTGTATGCCATGAAAATGACAGAAATGACTTGGTGGGATGTCAGCTGGAAAGTCCCCAAGACACTGTAAAGAATAAAATTCCTCACTTCCTTCTTTGCTGTCATAAAACAGTGGACAGGAGCCTTTAGTACAGAGTTTCCGATAAAAATCATTGACTAGCCACAGATTTGGCTCTGACTACATCATTAAGCCAACTGTATTAACTTTAGCGAATGCATTTACCTTTCATGTGATAAGGTCAATATGCATATCACAAGCATCTATCTGCATCAGTATCCAAGGAAGTAAAATCTTCCCAGCCACTGAATGAAGGGACCAGAATCATCAGGAAATTCAGGTGAGATGTCCAGTGGGGACCTTCTTGATGCCAAGACCAAAAAGTCCCATTTTCCAACCAAGTGTTTATTGGCGAGATGGGATTCTTTCTACTGGATCATCACTCGTTATCACCATTTTTACCTCCAAACCTTGTTTCATTAATATACAGTTCCCCAGTTTC